CCAGAACTTTTGTTGAGTAGATGATAATTGTGGAGCTCGACTAAGGATCTGAGCCACTTCAAAAGCAACTGGTTGGTCCGGCACTTTGCAAAAATGAGAAGGATCACCATCAAGGAGCTCTTGTAGGGTAATAATAGCAAAGCTAATCTGCTCCTGGGAAGGGAGATCGATGTCGAGGTTCGCTTCTTCAGCAACAGCCTTCCCTTTGCTATCTATAGCAGATCCAGATTTAGCCGGAGGATCCATCAACATGTCTAGCTGGGCAAGAAGTTCATTTTCCAGATTATCATCAATCATGGACACATCAGCAGTAACACTCTACAAAATGTGGAGACAAAAGATCAAAAATAGCAACTAGCAGATATGGTGACAGATTTCAAGATCTAAGCAGTTTTAAGAACAGTAAAACAACCTCAATGTCATCAACATGAACATGCCTAACAGGAGAGGCTACGGGTGTAGGGGTATTCTCTTTGTTTGGGCTTAGATCGATGAGTTCATTCGGTCTAACTGTTTTAAAGCTTTTATTAGCTATGCGCAAAGAGAATCTAGAACCCCTAACCTTTGTGGCTGGAGAAGAACCGTTGCCAGATTTCGTAGGGATGGTGGTAGAATCACCTTCATCACTTGCAGTACTGTTTTCTTCGACTTGGTCTAGCTTGGGAGAAACATCTTCTGTTTTGTTAGGAGGAATCTGGGTTTCCGTGGCAGAAGTGGATTCTGATGGGGAGGCAGATTTGATGAGCTTCTTGGCAGCTGTAGGTTTCACTGCTGGCCTCTTGATTCCTAAAAGAAAGAAAAAAGGAAAGAAAAGAAGGTTAGCAAAGAGTATTTCACCAAGTTGCAAGCCAAAGCAGATTTACCTTTAGTTCTTTGCTGCTTGGAGGGGGTATACTCCTCTAAAGAATCGGCTGAAATGGTAACCTTCCTCTTGGTTTGAATTCTGGTAGTACTCCTTGGCAGATTTGGTTTTTTAGGATGGACGGTCAAGGTAGATTCCAGATTACCACTTTCCTCTGTAACACCCAAAGTGGCCTACCACTACTACCTAGAGGGTAGGCCGTGACATCCTAGCAGCTTCTATACAGATAAGTAAGCAAAAAGGGACCCAAAGCAAAATGCTTACCATGTGCTAATGCAGCGGCTAATGGAATAAATTCTTTAGTAGGACCCTTTCCAGCAGAACAAACCATGTACTTACAGATTAATACAAGCAGAAATGAAATGTGTTTCTGAGCACTCACAGGCTTACTTTTGTCACAAGCAGATCTCACGAAGGACGGATAAGAAGGCTTCATGTCTATGGAGTTGTACTCAAAACCTGGTGGCAATGTGAGAAGTGCTGAAATTTGCTCTCCTGTGCAAGGTAACCCGGTCAATGAACTGATGTCAAAAAGGCTCACAGACATGGCTCCACAAGGAAAATGAAAGCAATTAAAAGAGCCAGACCAAAACAACAAAGCCGAACCCAAGACCGGCTTATCCATGGTAAATCTGCACGTGGTTAATTGTATAAATTCAAACAGACCCACATCCCTCTAGATCTGGCCGAAGGCGGGTTCAAGACGATTCACCCAATCAATCCATTCTGATCTCCCCCAAGCCGGCCAAGTCCCAAAATGCCCAACCCTGTTGTTCCAATTCGGTTTCACTTGGAAAGGGAGGAGATGTTGTTTCAGTTGTGGGTAAAGGAATTTGAGTGAAAGGGGTGGAGGAGAAATGAAATATGGACCCAAAAATTTGAGAGTTCATGTGGGGAACAAATATTTGATCTGAATGGCTTGTTTTATGGTGTTGAAGAATTTGTTTGATTTCATTTTGGAGGTCTTTGGTTTGGAAGAGGCTCACTAGATCTGCAAGAGGCGGCTTCTTAGGATGAAAAGACTTGGTTCCAGCCATGGCAACAGTAGATTCGGTGTGTGAAGGCTGTTCTTGTGGGTCGTTGGCCATGAATGGAGCAGATTTGGGTGAAGAAAAGCAAAGGGGAAAAAAGCCGGCAGTGATTGGAGGAAGAAGAAGAAGAAGATGTAAAAGAGGTTTTGACTTTTGATTTTCAAAAAGCCCTCATTTTTAGGGATTTTTTGGAAGTCTAAAAGTTAAAAGAAATGTAAAAATGGAGGAAGCTGGTCGGTGATTAAAAAAAAAAAAAAGAGAAGTAGCCGGCGGTAAAGCAAGGGAAAAGAGGAAGAGAGAAAAAAAAAAGGCCGGCAATGATGCAATGATGTGGTACCAGGGAAGATGAAAGGTAAAAGTAAATTGGCTTTTCCTTTCTATTTGCAAATAAAAAAAAAAAAAAGAAAGAAAGAAGCCGGCAGTGACTGGAAGAAGTTTAAAGGTTATAAGGTATGTAAATATGGAGGAAGCTATCTGGTGAATAAAAAAAAAAAAAGGAGCAGCAGCCGGCGGTAAAGCAAGGCAAAAATGGAAGGAAAAAGTTGACAGTGATGCAATGTGGTACTGGGGAAGATGAAAGGTAAAAGTAAATTAGCTTTACCTTTCTGTCTGCAAATAATAAAAAAGAAGGAAGGAAAAAGAGGCAACCGGCAATGACCAAAGGAAAAGGAAAGGATTAAAGTAAGTTTGACCTTTCCTTACCTTTTTGGATTTGAAAATTAAATGAATTAATTTTGAAAAAGAGTGGTGGGGTTTATTTAGAAAATTGCTTCAAGAGATATTTGTGGAGTTGCTTTTAAAGGGAATTTGACACGTGGCATAAGTTATTATGGTGTGGGAGATAATTTATTTAATTAAAACACTTAGATTTATCTTTATAAAACCAAGTGTTGGAGGCATTGTTTACACCATAAATTGTAAAATTTTAAATTAATGTCACGTGTAAAATATTTTTTATTGGTTGGAGGCGATTGAGCCATGTCAGATTCGGATTTTGGGCTCCATGACAGATCAGCACTTGTGTTGGCAAAAGAGGAAAGGTAAAGATAATTTTTTATGGAGTAATTATTTTCAGATAGAAAGGGATAATGGGAGCTGAAAAATAAGAGAGTATTGCAGTTAAAAAGGGGGTTTTATCTTATAAGAGTACAGGTGGTGAAATCTGCAAGGAGATTAGACCAGGTCAAAAGGTGAGGTGTCTCACTACTTCAAGAAATCACCCATGATTGAGTAACTGTAAAAGGTGGAAGTTACTGCCGGCACAAGGAGAACAAAAAGGAAATTTTGGAAGGAAGAACACACGGCCAGCCCTACTCAAACAACTGCAAATTTTCATACTTTCATTTTCTTTGCACATGCTTCCAGATTTCGAATTTCAGCACAGATTTCAATAGAATTAGGGTGTTCTTCATCATTTCAGTAGACAATTTAATTTATGTACTTGCTACATCAGTTTCACTTCATGCAATGAATTTCAACATTTCAAGTTTCTTCCAAGTACTATTCATTTTCTGTCTGTAATTAATTTAGTGTTTATTTTAAGTAGCATTGCTTCAATGATTACTTATGTGGCTTTCATGCTTCTTTCCAAGTTCAAGCTCTTCAATTTATTCACTGTTCATGTTTAATTTTAGTGTTAATTAGGGTTAAATTTCCAAGTCTGTAGCAATTTAACTTCCAAATCTGTCAATAGATAGCATTTTAATTTTATTATAAGCATGTTTAATTTAATTTTACTATAAGCATGTTTGATTTAATTTGGGTACATTTCTTTCTCGCAAACATAGTTTAAATTGCAAGCAATTTAGAATAATTAGGATTTGTTAATTTTAAGTCACGATAGTGTTTTAAGTCCTTGGAGTTGTCCAAGGCAGATTTCATAACCCATTCTGTAGGAAGGTATCCCTCCCTCTTGCAAATCGTCTGAAGGTGCAAATTTCAATTTAATCCAGCGTTCTTCCCACCATTTGCAAAGAGGTCAACCGTGAGGAAGGAGAGGGTCGTTGGGAAAGTCCTCTTTTCTTACTTTCAGCAAAGTAAGTGACACGCCCACATCCAAATTTCACACGTGTGAGGCCACTAGAGGATTTTTGAAGAAACAAATTTGGTATTTGATGTGATAGTGAAACTATCTTATATATGGAGCATAAAGTTCGTATAAATTTTTATTTATCTTCTTCCTTTTTGGCATTGAATGAAAGTTCAATGTAAATAATTAAGGTGGACTTAAATGCAACTCTTAGATAAGCTTACGTGAAGCTAAATATTTGGTCTAATTTTAGGCAATGAGGCAAATGGAGAGCTAAGATGTTTGTCTTCTTACATATTTTTATTCGTTATTGAATTTGTAAATAGTATTAATATCCAAATAATTTTTTTACAACCCTTATTTATATTAATTTTTATATATATTAAATAAATAATTACATATAATATTGTAAATAAAGTAAAAAGTATAGAAATATTAAACTATGTGAATGTGAGTAAGGGAAAAAGGTGATGTATAATTCTTTTTAATTATTATGCGATGTAAATAATAATAATGAGTACATATATAACCTTTATTTTCTCTTATTTTCCCCTCATTTAGATTTGGATAAGTGAGGAGGGGAAACCTTTTATTACCTTTATTTATGTTGGTAATTTTTATTTATATTTTGCTAATTTATGCACTTTAATTCTCCAATTTTTCCTTCAACCTCCTCTCCCCTCCTCTCTATTCCCTCAAATATATCAAAGATACCATAATTCCATATATCATAGTAATTTAAAACCTATTGTCATAATTGTCTCAATATCTTTAATGTCTCTCTTTAAACTCAAAGTGCTTTTACCAACATGAGTTTGTGAATAAATCTCTAAGGTGTATCCATAATTCTCTACAACAACATCTTAAAAGTAAAATATCTTGAAGTCAGAGAACATGAGAAATCTCAAAGGTGCAGATCCATAACCTTTTAAAGAGAACATCTTTAAACGAAGAATATCTCATAGTTTATATCTAAAAATTTGTCAAAGAAGGCAACTAAAGTGGTAGTAAAAAACTAAAGTGGAAGTAGAAGTAGTAGAAGATTGAAGATAAAGCAAAAGCAGTAAATTGGAGGAGGTAAAAGAAAAAAAATTACAAAATTGGAATTTAGAAAATAACAAAAGTTAACTACGGGAATTAAAGGAATTGATGAGAAGAAAATAAAAATAGAAGAAAAAGAAAAAGAATTTGAGAAAAGAAAATAGAAGTGAATTAATTAATAGTTTAATTGAAAAATTAGAGCCAAACCACAAATAATAATAAAGTTGCTCTTTATTTAAAGAAAGATCATTGGCAACCTTCATAATATAAGTATAACTTGGTTTATTAAATATAAATTACGAAGAATAACCTTGACCCAGCATCCTAATTGAATTAAGTTGATACTTTAAATATTTTTTTTCAAAACACAAAGTTAAACTATATAGTTTTGAACACATTGGAGCTTTTTTTTTTTTTTTCCTTTGAAAATAACTAAGACACAAATTAAAATAAACTGCTGTTGAAGCTAAAAAAATAGAAATGAAGACCTTATAACTTTTTAGAGCTACAGGGCTTTGATACCATATAAAAGAATCTAAAGCATGTGAATGTAAGTTGCAAAAATTGAATGTAGGACATAATGTTTTCTTATTATATGATATAATAATGTGTACATAGGTAACTTTTATTTAGGCATTAAGTAACCCATTAACTAAGAAACTTATATATCCTAAATCAATCTATCATAATAATTCTAAAACTTATTATCATATATAATTGACTGAATAATTATTAATATATATCTATTAATATCTCTCAATATCCTTGAAAAAAGAGCTAATTATTAAATAACATGTAAAGTTGTATGAAAAAGTTACATAAAAAAAATCTCTCAATTCTTTTTTGATTTCCAAATCCAATAATTTTGAGATAAATTATTAAAATATCATTTTGAGGTAGACTTATTACTTAAATGCTTTCATTAATTACTTTCTTTGCACTTTACTACTCAGCATTTATTGTGGGCACAATAATTGGTATACTAAAAATGTGTTCTTTTTAGGGTAAAACCCTCAAATCCACCCTTAAAAAATATTGGTAGAGACACATCCACCCCTCACAAAAATGTAGGGACAAATTGCCCCTTCAAATCATAAATCAAGATAAATCACTCATTTTTTTAACGAAAAATGTCAGAATTCTGTTTCCCACGTAAGCATTTTTTAATAGAAAATGTTAAAAAAAGGGTGATTTATCTTGATTTATGAATTGCCCCTCCATTTTTGTGAGGGGTGGATGTGTCCCTATCGATATTTTTTAATGGTGGAGTTGGGGATTCTGCCTTCTTTTTAGTCCTTTCATACTAATAGGGTTGGGTATTCGGTTTGAATTGTTGAACTAAACTAAATTTTTAGTTATCTGAAAACATATTGGATGAGCTTTTTTTGCCAAACCTAAGTCAAACACTTAATTTAGTCATAATTGACTATCCAAAACTATTTGAATGCTATGATAATTAACCAAAATAACCAAAATTTTTATGTATCAATATAATATATCATTATTCTTCATTGATAGTTATTAAAAGTTTTTCCCTTTTTACTTGTGATTATTGACAATTTTTTTTTGAATTCCCATCTACAAATTTGACCCAAATATAAAAAAAGAATTTTATCTTAAAAAATTTGATACATCACAAAATCCAAATCCAATTCTCATACAATGAAGATCAATATCCTATACTTCACATCATAATTTCAAGGAAAGCAATTTATAAGCTTAAACCATTCATAAGTGAAAATCAAAAGATAAGCTTAAACTCTTCAAACAAAGCAAAGACATCCTCCTAGCTAATTGATTAAATCAAATAAACTTTTAAATTATTTATAACCATTAATGCAAATCAAAAGATATCCATCAATCCATGTTCTATTTGGTGTGTTGTGTGTTGTACAAACCAACCACAACATAAAATCAAAATTACAGCAAGTTCAACATTACTAAGAGATTCACTTTATCTCCAATCTCTATGCTTTTATTTATATAACTAAATTAAGATCGAAATGCATCACATGATCAAAATAGATTGATACATCACCAATAAACCCCCTTATTAGCTGTATTTGCACTACACATGATGTTTCATGTCCTATATATCCAAAAAATCTAAATTAAGATAGATTAAGGAATGCAAGCATTATCTAACAAACAAAAGCTTTTCCATTGTCATGTTCAATAATCATTTATCATTAGTAGTG